AATACGAATAGGATTTTAATGTATTGTGTATATAAAAAGAAATAATAAAGCAAAGAGTAATACATCTATTTTCATTTGGAGCAATTTATACTACCTCTATAATGCATGAAGATATGAAATAATTACCTTTGATTTGCTATTCATGTGCAAAATCAAATGATAAAGAAATCCTTCGTATTCACATACGTCTACATTATCGGTGCAAAGAAGGGAAATTAAATATATGATTGCGATTGCTCTAAACCAAGCTTTAGTTGTAGTTGGATAGGTAACTCAGGGAAAACAATAAAAGGAAACTCCAACATACATACATATATATAATATATACTATATATATATATATATATTATATATATATATATAAATATATATATATATATATATTAATTTATTTATTTATTTATTATTATTTATTTATTCGTTATACATACTATATACATGCAGTAACGGATATACAAAAAGGAAAGGAAAATAGACACAATACGAAATGAAAAAAATATATAGGTACGTTTCGGATACTTCTCTTTCCTTCTCAGACGAATTAAGACGAAAATCATAAATGCCTTTAGCGTCTATCTTGTTAATGTGGTGAACTTTATCCCGTAAATGATGATCATGCATTGGATTTGCGGCGTACAGATCCGTTTTATGCTCATTATTATTTTTATTATTGTTATTTGTTATTTATTATTTCAGCTTTAAAGCTCTACCGGTTTTGCCTATGTCAAATTTCAAGCAGTTCTAATACGGTAATAATGTAATAGAATATTGACAATCGTCTGTTGTGTATTACAGGAAATATATAATTTGTATTCCGCATATGAATGTGCCTGATATTGAAAAAAAATGAGGATATCCTAATTTCTCAAAATGTTTAGAAAATAACGTTTATGCCCCAGAGGAACATTATGAAGGTAATAAGCGAGCCATTTACATTCAATAAAAGAACGTCGATAGAAGGTAATTTTACCTGAATTACCAAAGTCCTACTACTTAAAATAGTAGAAGAGGTTATTTAGTCACGGGGAAAAAGTCATAGAAAATCCTACCTGTTCACTTGGCTAACAGAAAAATATCAATATAACGCCAAATCGTGGTGGAGGAGGAATAGACGGAGGGACTTCAGAGATTCAATCTCCTTGTGTCAATCGCAAAGAACCGGGCTAAGGCTTCTTCCCATCACAATCACATTCATTTGATTGATGCTTTTGAATTATATATATGTATGTGTGTTTTATATATCCGAGTAATGTAGTTGTGAGTATATGTACGTGTATGTGTGTGTGTGTTGTGTTGTGTGTGTGTGTGTATGGTGTGGTGTGATATATATATAATATATATATATATATATTATATTATATTATTATATATATATATATATTTATATATCTTATGTTATATATATGTGTGCGTTTGTGTGCGAGTGAGAGCGGGATAGCAGGAGGGGGAGGGGGGGGGATACGATTGATACAGAGAGATCGACAGAGAAATGTTATTTCATTGCATGCTGTGTGCTAAGTTTTCGAAGGGGTGTGTATGACCACAAACTAAGGTTGACGTTTCTTAGTTGGAAGCTTATTTGAATCCTTATTGACATTTGACACGATTAGGGTTGTCTATAAAGGTTGCAGGGTTCTCTTTTATAGAATTTCAAATTGATAGATTAACAGAATATCCTTGATATAATTGTAAAAATAATTTTAAAAAATTGAAAGAAGCATTGAAAGGCGCACGAAGTGTGGAGTCTCACCTTGACAAAGCCAGGAAGTCCGTTAGGCAAATGGAGTCCACTGGTATATAACTGGAGCGGTGCCACACTCACACACAATCCGAACCTTTTCGACATGTTCTCAGTAAGCTCCCAGACGATGCATATCTTTACTTGATGGATCTATCGGATTTGGATTTAAAAGTAGTTAAACAACAAAAGTTACTGAAACTGCTCTATATTCTCTCCAGATGCTATCTTTTATGACAATTCTGCAGATTATAGTATGTGCTTTGGTGGCGGTGGTTGCCGCAGCCCCAGACCACTACGGACCACCTCAGACCGGCTTCTATGGCTTTCCCAGTCCAGTCATTCCCATCCTCAAGGACGAGCGAGAGGGACCTGATGCGTCTGGAGTGTACAGCTTCGAGTTCGAGACTGGCAATGGCATCAAGCGAGAGGATAAAGAAATCCTTCGTATTCACATACGTCTACATTATCGGTGCAAAGAAGGGAAATTAAATATATGATTCCGATTGCTCTAAACCAAGGTTTAGTTGTAGTTGGATAGGTAACTCAGGAGAAAACAATAAAAAGGAAACTCCAACACATACATACACATATATATAATATATATATATATATATATATATATATATATATATATTTATATTATATATATTTATTTATTTATTTATTTATTTATTTATTTATTTATTTATTTATTTATTCGTTATACATACTATATACATGCAGTAACGGATATACAAAAAGGAAAGGAAAATAGACACAATACGAAATGAAAAAAAATATAGGTACGTTTCGGATACTTCTCGATTTCCTTCTCAGACGAATTAAGACGAAATAGATAAAATGCCTTTAGCGTCTATCTTGTTAATGTGGTGAACTTTATCCCGTAAATGAATGAATCATGCATTGGATTTTGCGGCGTACAGATCACGTTTATGCTCATTATTATTATCATTATTATTGTTGTTGTTATTATTTTCAGAAGCTCTACCGGTTTTGCCTATGTCAAATTTCAAGCAGTTCTAATACGGTAATAATGTAATAGAATATTGACAATGTCCTGTTGTGTATTACAGGAAATATATAATTTGTATTCCGCATATGAATGTGCCTGATATTGAAAAAAAAAATGAGGATATCCTAATTTTCAAAATGTTTAGAAAATAACGTTTATGCCCCAAGGAACATATGAAGGTAATAAGCGAGCCATTTACATTCAATAAAAGAACGTCGATAGAAGGTAATTTACCTGAATCTACCAAAGTCTACTTTAAAATAGTAGAAGAGGTTATTTAGTCAACGGGAAAAAGTCATAGAAATCCTACCTGTTCACTTGGCTAACAGAAAAATATCAATATAACGAAACCAAATCGTGGCTGGAGGGAGGATAGACGGAGGGACTTCAGATTCAATCTCCTTGTGTCAATTCGCAAGAACCGGGCTAAGGCTTCTTCCCATCACAATACCATCAGTTGATTTGCTTTTGAATTATATATGTATGTGTGTTTATATATCCATATATGTGTAAACGAGTATATGTACGTTTGTGTGTGTGTGTGTGTGTGTGTGTGTGTGTGTGTGTGTGTGTGTGTGTGTGTGTGTGTATATATATATATATATATATATATATATATTATATATATATATATACTTATGTTTGTGTGCGTTTGTGTGGAGAGCGAGTGAGAGCGGGAAAGAGCAGGAGGGGGAGGGGGGGGGGGGATACCGATTGATACAGAGAGATCGACAGAGAAATGTATTTCATGTGCATGCTGTGTGCTAAGTTTTCGAAGGGGTGTGTATGACCACAAACTAAGGTTGACGTTTCTTAGTTGGAAGCTTATTTGAATCCTTATTGACATTTGACACGATTAGGGTTGTCTATAAAGGTTGCAGGGTTTCTCTTTATAGAATTTCAAATTGATAGATTAACAGAATATCCTTGATATATTGTAAAATAATTTTAAAAAATTGAAAGAAGCATTGAAAGGCGCACGAAGTGTGGAGTCTCACCTTGACAAAGCCAGGAAGTCCGTTAGGCAAATGGAGTCCACTGGTATATAACTGGAGCGGTGCCACACTCACACACAATCCGAACCTTTTCGACATGTTCTCAGTAAGCTCCCAGACGATGCATATCTTTACTTGATGGATCTATCGGATTTGGATTTAAAAGTAGTTAAACAACAAAAGTTACTGAAACTGCTCTATATTCTCTCCAGATGCTATATTTTATGACAATTCTGCAGATTATAGTATGTGCTTTGGTGGCGGTGGTTGCCGCAGCCCCAGACCACTACGGACCACCTCAGACCGGCTTCTATGGCTTTCCCAGTCCAGTCATTCCCATCCTCAAGGACGAGCGAGAGGGACCTGATGCGTCTGGAGTGTACAGCTTCGAGTTCGAGACTGGCAATGGCATCAAGCGAGAGGAACAAGGTGCCCCTCGAGGACCATCTGGCGCTGTGGCCATGCAAGGAGGATGGTCGTGAGTACAATGCATGACTGGTTTTGGTACATCTGCTTTCGTTAGTGAGGCGTCTGCTTTTGTATTAAATTGGACATAAATGGGTCCATATGAAGAATTTATCAACGAATTCCATATATTTGATGTCCACTTTTGATAATCTAATCTTTGATTTGCGTTCAGCTTCACCTTCCCTGATGGCTCTCCCGCCGACGTGACCTTCGTCGCCGACGACGCTGGTTTCCGCGTAGAGTCCGACCTGCTGCCCACGCCCCACTCCCTCCCCGCCCACGCCATCGCCCAGATCGAGAAGGCTCGTCGGGAGGACGCAGCTGCTGCCGCTCTGAGCGGGCGTTACTCCGCCCCTCGGACTAGCTATGGATACCCTCAATAGGATCTTAAAATACGAATATGATTTTAATGTATTGTGTAAATAAAAATGGAATAATAAAGCAAACAGTAATTTATCTATTTTCATTTGGAGCAATTTATACTACCTCTATAATGCATGAAGATATGAAATAATTACCTTTGATTTGCTATTCATGTGTAATATCAAATGATGAAGAAATCCTTCGTATTCACATACGTCTACATTATCGGTGTAAAGAAAGGAAAGTAAATATATGATTGCGATTGCTCTAAACCAAGCTTTAGTTGTAGTTGGATAGGTAACTCATAGGAAAACAATAAAAAGGAAATCTCACACACATACACATAGAATATATATATCTATATATTCATACATACATACTTATACACACACATACTGTAACAGATACACAAAAATGAAAG